GTCTGTCTATGCAATTAACAGTGTTATGAATAAATTACATTTATTTACGTGGGCAGGATTTTAATAAACTTTTAATTAAATAGGGAAATCCCCCAAGTTATCTTTTTTAAAAAGAAAAAACTATAGAAGCTTGTTATATTAACTGAATTTTAAAACAAACGAGTATCTTAGTATGACTGATTTTTCTGCCGATTAAAAAAAGAAGGTTTTTAGAACTCCGTCGTTCACTTGGACCAACTTTGAATTTTTTTTTCATTTGGGAGGGTATATCTCCCGATTGGTTCCATTCATTCAAATTTGTAGAAAACAATTAGAACCCCTAAGAGTGAAAAATTAAGGAATGAAGAATCCAATTTATCTCAATTGATCATGGAGTAGGCGTATTAAAGTCGGTGACACATTCTAAGTCTAATGATAGGTTGAATTGGAAGAAAATATTTTAAAGGGTACTGTAGCTAGTCGAAGACAGTAACATAATGATTAAAACAAAAATCTTTGAAAATAAACTAACCATCTTTTCTCTCTGTGAGGCACGGAAGGGTCTCAATGTGTGAAGAATGTTCACTTATCTATAGACTGACCTGGCTAGGATTATTTAACGTTGCAATGTGTTGACCCACTCGGTTAACACTTAGCCACTAACCCCTCATCTAAGCAACTGTAACTAATAAACCAACATTTTGATTTCCCTATATAACAACGTCTCTAATGGCTGTGTATTAGCTACTCACATGAAAAGTCTCAAGATTTCAGACCGCCCTAACCTACGAGTAGGAGTAGATGGATGCTTTTACTATATAACCATAACATTTTTGTTATTTAAGGAGGATAAAGTTGAAAAGAATGAACAGCGATTAGAATACATTGTGACACAGTCTGTTCAAATACAGTTACATTAAGAAAATGATATTATCAATTTGAATAACGGATCCTGTTATTCTCATATGAATATTCATTATCACCATTTTAGCGCCAATCCTTGTTAAATAGTCGTATGATATATTTTAGAAACATATAGTTTGTTTTAAAGAAATATATATAAAGCAGCGTGAGAACGTGCAGAAATCGTTCCAAACAGCAAAGTTTTCACCCCCATCGCTTGGATAATTGGCACTCCACCTCTTTGCGCTTTTCAAGATACTTTCTGCCTCGCACAACCAATCTTTTGAACAAGTTATCGTCTGCGGTATTTCCGAGCCGATACGACCTTGAAGAAAAGAGCGTTCTTCTACCTAAAAGGTCGGAAACGCGTTTGTAACTCCTGAGTTACAGGCGTTCATGGGCAGCGGTATTCACTTTCCATCAGGTGACCCGACCCCTTCCTAAATAAAAAGAAAAAGAGAACAAAAGTGCTGTGATAACATTGCAAGGCAAGTTTTTGAAACTCTCCATTCGTTTGATATCAGTCGAATGTTTGTGTATCGAGCTATTGATTGGCATAGTAAAATGTTCTCTGTTTGTAATAGCAAAAGATCTAGCCGTAATAGAAAGACGATTAAAGCAGTGAAGAGTATAATCCAAAAATATCCTAAGCGAAAGCAAAACATTTTAGCGAAGGTCTTGTGAAAGTTTATCAGCATTCTATATACCTAGCAGTATATATTACTGCTGAAGATTGACCGTCATCTAGTCTTGGTCTTAATCATTTTAATTATATAAGCAAAGGTAATATGTATTATATATCTCTATTGACATAAACCCAGTTTTTTTATTGGATAGAGTACCTATTAATTGAGGAAAGCTATAGAGTATGTACATTTATGAAACGACTAGTAGAAGCGGACTTGTAATCTTGAACGTAAAGTAAAATAGTTTGATTAGCTGATGTGTCCCAACTCAGTGTCTGAAAAAAATCACATACCCATCAATTTAGTTGAATGATGTTTAGAAATACATTAGAATTCTTAAGTGTTTGTTTTTCATTTTGGAGTAATAAAAACTGTAAGCGCTTTTTTGTATACACATTTGTATAAATGGCTCTAAGGTTAAATAAATAAATCTATTTGTCTATTGCGCAGAACTGTTCTTTTGTCAGTATCTTGTGCGTTTAAGCGGACATATAAAATGTGATCGCTTATTGGGTATGGTCGGATGACCCATTTAATATTCATCTAACACTCCACGGGACACTAATAGTCCAGTCATTATAGTAAGTTCACCTCGGAATTCGAGATACCCAGCTGTAAGTCTGTAAATACTTGTATATTGACACCCTAAAAGTTGTCTCAAAACCTACATATGGTAGAGTGTAAGCAACTATTAAATTTCAAGGTCAAAAGTCACAAAAATCGGTTTATTGCGCTTATTTTGGAAATATCTCATTTCCTATGGGTTTCTGCTATTTGTATTCATCATCAATATTGTAGAATACAAAATTCTCTACAAATTTTGTTAAGAATTTTTTTTTATACGGTGAACCGTTTTCGAGATAGAGGGCGGAGAGCGCGCGGTCACAACATCACTTCAGGTCAACCGGTGCCTCCGGTCGAAAACGCGCCATATACTCGTATAGTTGATGAACTATCGATAAATCAATGATTATAAATATTTGTCAATTTTTATTAACTATTATATTATATTTTATCATTTTTTTCCTAACTTATCCACTTTTTATTCAGTATTAATTTATTTAACAACACTTACCTGCCCATGTAATTGCAGAACTGTTAATGAAAATATAGTAATTATATTTGAATTTTAACCTAATTAATATTAATAACTTCTTACATGATGAAAAAAAACAAATAAATTATGAATCAATCTTTTTATTAAAAAATATCATTGAATACATTTATTTTTATTGAAAGTAAAAAAATGGAATAAAGGTTACAAAAACTACAGTTTATAATTTTAATCATCTTCTTCCTCCTTCTTCTTCCTAATTGATTTACTGGTTCCACTTTGCTTACTAAGTATAGGTAAATTTATAATAATATAGAGTTCTATACCTTCTTCTAAAATAATTTAATGAAAAACTTCTCTATTAAAAGAGAACAAGCGTTGTGTGATGTATTAATGTTTTTTTTAATTCGAAATATTTTGAAATATACAGAGTGTAAGGGACGTCGTAAAGAATACTGCAATAGTGTATTTACACCATTATTCTGAGTCGAAATTCATTTTATTTTTGTTAAAAATGGTGTAAAATGAGTAAATAGGATATTTTACCGAAAACAATTTAATAAATACCGCATACGGTCAAAAACTGCAATGTAATTAAACAAACAGCCGAAGCGCGCGGGGCCGTCACCCCGCTACAAGTTAGTGTGCGTAGACTGTTTGCACGGAATACAAATGTACTTATTACTTTTGTGCGATACCTACGGGGAATGTCCTTAATCTTTGTCAGCTGATTGCATAAAACTTTTAATATGCCGGCAGTACATTTTAATGATTTTCAACTTAGAATGATGGTCTGAATATACTATTTCAGTATTCGTTACGACGTCCCTTACACCCTGTATGTGGAATATATCCTGGTTGCCACAAGCCCTAAGTTGACGGTATGAGTCTATCCTTCAATGCTTGAATGAAAGCCATAATAGGTGTATTTTTGATTTTTTTTTTATGGAAACGGGGGTAAACGAGCAGACGGGTCAACTGGCGGAAAGTGAATACCGCCGCAAATGAACGCCTGCAACTCAGGAGTCACAAACGCATTGCCGGCCTTTTAGGAAGGCGTACGTTCTTTTCTTGAAGGTTTGAAGGTCGTATCGATACGGAAATACTGCAGACCTATAGGTAGTTAGTTACCTAATTCTATTGTCCACAAAAGAGCATCATTAACTTCGAAGTCTGTATGTCTTTGATTTTTTATAAATTGATTTATATTAAGTAATTTAAAATTTAAATTATTTGGCATTAAGTCTGCCAATGCATCAAATATGAAAGATCCTCTAACGTGAAGAATAAAATGGTACGAACTTGAAGGATCCAGTTAGACTATGTCAGTCAAATTTAATACTTTTTAATTAGAGTCACACTAAATGAAATTAAGCCACTTATCAAGTTTATAAAACCTTGTCATCATTTCTAAGGTTATGTGGAAAATATTCCATTAAGTGTCAAGGCCAACCAAGTGTATCATCTGTGGGTCATACTATGAAAATAAATTGCACTTTCTAGTATACTATATATTACTCTTAAGTGGTTGACTAAGAGGATATTTATTTAATTAGTAATAAATATTTATGCATTCAAGTTTATAACTAACTTTTTTCGATAATTTTCAAATTCAATTTCTGAGTTTCTAAATCAGGTTTTTTTTTCTAAGATTGTGCTCATTACGTTATTCATGAAATCTATTACCAATTCAATCATTAAGTATGAAACATTTTTAGTAACAGCCTGTAGAGAGAACCATTTCTTACGTAGTCCAGCAGTGTTAAGCCCCTTCCGGATTAGGGGGGACACTTTTCATAAGCGGTTTCATTTCGTCCATGTGATTGAAGTCGCTGATGCAGCTAATACTTATACTAGTAATATGTTCAGAATAAAGATTCATCATCATAATCTGTTGATTGTTGTTGGAAAGTAACCTTGGAAAGTAACTTTTGGCCTACTATACCACTCTGCCCAGACGGATTGGTACAGGGTTTGATTCAAGTTTTCCTTCTTTTTGCAGTGCTGTTGTTCTGTGTCCTTGTACCTTAGTCGGCTCTTGCGACACCCATGGGATGAATGGAGGTGGTGACACTCTGTACTTTTAATCCATCACCACACGGACGTAAACGAAAATAGACGTAATAGAGTAACATTATTGCGCTTATTTTTAAGCCGCAGAGTAAAATTAGGCTTAATTTTCAATCATTACTTTTAAACAAATATATGAAACCTATTTTGTTTCAATTTCAAGTTTGACAGTTGCCAGGGCATTGAGTTTGATACAGTTTTTTCGGGTGACAAGTATGCTTGAAATATTTGATTGGAAAAGTAATTTATAATGATACATTTTGAAGAGCTTTTACCCGCTTTTATAGATATACATATTATATTTAAACATGCAAATGCAACAAATAGCTACTATGAAAGTGATAACAGAGAGAAGAGCTACCATGTTGATATGTTAGTATAATCTATATATACTCGTATAAGAGATTACCACGTATATAGTCACTCATCACGATATCTCTGGAACCATTACACCTAAAGACTTGAAATTTGGTAGGAATATTCTTTTCACCGAGTAGAGGTCAGCTAAGAACGGATTTTAAGAAATTCAAAAAAAGGAAAAAAAAAATTTTTCAATAATGTAAGTAGCAAAACGTTTGCAGGGTCAGCTAGTACATTATAATCGCTTTAAGGCTTAAATGCTATTAAATTACATAATTGCTCAGTTATCTCGAATTTATTTATTTATATGATTTACACAAAAAACTAAATATTTCTGGGATTCAGGGAAGCGCTATGACACCTTAGACTACTTAACTGAACGAAAGGAAGGAAAAAGCTTATATTAAAGATAAAAGTTAAAGTTAACGTTTTTGTTATAGTTATATATAGATGTATTTGGGCTTGATTCAGAGGGTGAAGTGTGAATTTATTTCATATCTATCGATCGTCACGGTAACCGCGTTCGGCGCTGCGGTTGACGCACTGAAATCTTCACCAACTGCAACGTCGAACGCGCTCCCGGTCGAGAGCGAGTTGATGCAAACTAAGTAATATTACGGCTACCCCACAGATATTTGTGGTTATATCTTACTATAAGCGTTGGAAGATCTATATCATAGGTGACTGGATTGTCTCATAGGTCATTGCATCATTAAAATACGCAAGAATTTATGAACAGCTACTTTTCCATGTTTTATCGTTTAACTGTTAGCTGAATATCTTATAAAACTTTACTATTAGTGATATACCTGATGAATCAGACGACTATGTTTTAAATACGTTACCTACGTTTACTTACGAGTAACATTTTATGGAAATGTTACTAAGAGCTACGAATAATTAATATTAATTATATGAAATAGGCGATCTGTGAAATTTTGTAATTAGTAACTGTCGTTCAAATATATTAGATTAAAAGGAAATTATAAATCTCGAGTATAAACAAATTTATTATTATTATTATTGTACTGTGCAGCTCCTCTGTCGGATACAAATTTTTGTAATAACAACATGACCGCAAAGAACTATAAAAATATTAATTTATGTAATATTTAACATGTTTTTTTTGTTATGTTTTATATTTTTTACTTTGATTTACCTTACATAACGTATCGGCATTGAAAAGAAGTTTTATCATCATGCGTAATATGGGGGGATATTTTTGCTGTTTAGCTGACGCGTTTTCGAACTACGCGTTACTACTGGCAATTTCACGGGATCAACAATTTACATAGTAGTTAATTTCTGAGACGTGTGAGGTACATTACAAGCTGTGTGCGTTTTTTAAATAAATTTATTAGACGGCATTGCGCATAGCTCCTGAAAGTTAAGTAGCTCATAATGCTAGCAAGAATTGTTCAGTTAATAAGTAAACTAAAATGTACAAGATAATACCAACGACTACAATCGAATATGGCCCTGTTTATGTAGTCTGAATACTAATGGTTCTTTTATTTTCAGACGTAGTTCCCGTGCGCTTCAATTTGTGGGTGATGCTGTTCACAAGTTGCTGGGTGGTTTACATGCTCCGAGTCAATATAAGCCTTAACCTTATTGCTATGGTTCCTCAAGTACCACACAATACGTCGTAAGTTTTGATGAACAAAAGCTTTTGTGAAACCTTTTATGTAGTATTACAATTTTGCCAGCGAGTTGGAGAGCAGAGTAGGAGAAACATTTCACATGAATAAAATTAACATCTTTTTTATAAAATTAGCTTAATTTTATGGATTATAGTAATGTATGGTTGAAGATAAAGTACTGATCGCCCAGACTTCCGTTAGGATCACTAGACAGTTGATCAATTGACGCAAACTTGGATTTCAATAAATCCGATGACAGTTAAGATGGATGTCCTTTTCAGACAAAACATTAGTTCTATTAGAAACGAATGACGTATGTGGGTCGTGGTTATTTTGAGTAATAAAAAAAGCAAACGGGTTTTCACATCATTATGATCTGTCGGAAATCTTCCATGCCTCATAACTTTGATGCAAATGCGAACATTGGTGCGAATAATCAAATATTTGGATTTGTTTCAATTAAAAGTTAATTTTGTTCTGTTAGCCTTACCCTTGGATTAAGGGACACAGTTTCCTGTATTCGCGTGTTATTCAACAAACGGACATTTCAACAAACGGACATTACATGCTGTTAGAAGTTCCTATCTTAAATATTATCAAACAATTTAAAAAAACTGAAATTATATATTTAGTTAAACAAACTATTTGCAATAATCGTCGAAGCACTTTTGTAATTAGTAACTGACACCCAAAATATAAAGACCGCCACATATATACCTAAATCGTTTGCAATTGATAACTCGACGACCGGATGGCGTAGTGGTTTGTGTAACAGACTGCTATTCTAATGGTCGTGGGTTCGATTCCCGCCCAAGTCAAACAGTTGTGTGCATGAACATTTAATGTTTGATTTGGTCTGGGTGTTTCTATGTATAATATGTATGTATTTCCAAAAAAGAAAGTATAATATATGTATTTATATCAGTTGTCTAGTACCCATAGTACAAGCTCTGATTAGTTTGGGACTAGATGGCGTTGTGTGAAAGTGGTAGAATATTATTATTATTACTCTTTATAGCCGTTCTTACGACCTCGTCGTATTTTAAGTTCTACCCAGTTTCTTTTTAAATATCAGAAATGCTTAATGGAATCTCTAAAAGGTAAGGACAATAGAAAAACAAAAATGTAGTTTTGAGTGGGTTGTTGGCACGATTCCGCGTTGTCGTGAAGTACGAGTGGACTATCGCAATTGAAAAGTCTCAGCTATTTGATAGTGCACTCATCACAATAGTGAATGTTACAACTCTGCTGTAATTGGTACAGCTTTGATTATCTTGGCATGATAATGTCGATATATATCCACCCTATCCTCACATCCTTCTAATGGTTAATAACCAATGTTTCCAACAAGAGACACGCACTATTTTGATTGATAGAATGCGTTATTCATCGCATTTGACAATTCGATTCAAAATCACCTCATTTCATGAATTGTCAATAGAGTTCGACGCGGTTTTGAGTTCCGTGTTCTGTTATAACAAAGTAAACAGCACAAATAAAGTTTTCCTCAGGATATTTTTTAATGTGTAAGATTACCATCAGTCACGCAAGTTACTAGCGAACTAATGTGTTATGTTGTTATCAGATCGCAGTCTCAGTGTGGACCCAAGGACGACATTGCAAGCAACGAGACTCTGCCTCATCAGGATGGTGCCGAAGTCCACGCCTCACCAATAAAGGTAATATAACTAATATGAAACAAAAATCGTTTATGTTGTCACTTTTAAATTATTTTTCACTTTAAAACTCCACTACTCTACACGTTAATCGTTCAAGTGTTTTTTTAAATATTTCATGACTACTAATTGTATTTTTTACAATAATGTTTATTAATAGTTCAAAGAAGTGTAATATGAGGACTATAAATAACAACACTTTAATATGTTTAATTACAAGTTCTACTCAAAGGTTGACAACCATAGCGCACGCGCAGTTTTTGTGAACAATAATCTAGGTTCTTTTTACTATAGGTCACAATAATTAGAGGCATTTGTGTTAAATGCAAAGTTGCTGCGAATCTAAGCTTATTAGTGTACTTAACGATTCGTTTCTAAAGCGCCCCACGACACAGTGGGATGTTTACTTACTGCGGGCACTATTATGAAAAAAAACCACTGATGAATTATAATTAAACACTTAAGTAACAAAAATTCGTTTCATAATAATTTAATTACTGTACATTATTTTATGAAAGTCTAAAATAATATTATGGTCTTTTTCTTGTTTAGGTTCCAGGCGGAGCATCCTTTAATTGGACTGCGGAACAACAGGCTTTAATTCTGGGCTCCTATTTTTGGTGCTATCCTCTGACGTCACTAGCAGGTGGAATGGCAGCCGAACGCTGGGGGCCTCGCTACGTCGTTTTAGTCACATCCTTCGTCAGTGCCATACTAACAGCCCTTAGTCCTTTGGCTGCAAAACTGGATTATATAGCTTTAGTAATAATAAGATTCTTCTTAGGATTTGCGGGGGTAAGTCTAACCACATATTTATTTCTCACTAAATTTAAAAGTTATTTAAAAAGTCCCAATGATTCACAAAATGATTTATGATTTATTAAATTAGTGCGGCTTATTGATCATCGCAAGCACGCGCGATTAACAACACCTTCATAGGGTTCCTTTAGTGGAATTAAAAGAAGGAATCTTTCACTCAGTCTGTCTCTCTGTTATAGCCAATTAGATAAGTCTGATTAAGTTGGCGTTGAATTTTTTTTTTGACCCAAACACAGATGTGGAAGCTTAAATATGTTTGAGTTATAGGCAGTATTCGTTATTAAATAAGCCATGTATCAGTCACGAATTGTAGGGGGAAGTCCCCTAGTGCCGGACACATAAGGTTTTCAGGAAATAAAATTAAAACTACATCGAGAAATATGTATTTATTTATGAATTACTTAAATTAACAAAACATAAAATCAAAATCAAATAACAAAAATACAAATTCTGCGTAAACATAGTTTAGGAATGTTAAATAAGTTTTGGTAAAAAAAATAAAGGACTTTGACATTGGCACCTAGTGCCGGACGGGTTAATCTTCAAACCCCAAGCGCCGGACATTCTAAAACTTTTAGCATCTATCACATATGTAGGCATCTCCACATTCTGGAACGTCTGCACATGCTTCATGAGCCCATTATTGGCATCTGGAGCATTGTATCCAGTCCTCGTCGTGGTCTTCTAAACACACTACATAAGTCGTTTTTTCTATATTTGATACTTCAGTTAACGGCTCCTTTTTGTTGTCGTTATTGCCACGTTTGGTTTGTTTACTCATGGGGAATCTTCATAGCTTCAGCCAAGTCGTAAGCTAACTTCACAAACTCGTTTTTCATCAGGGGCAGACATCTATTAGACAAATCTCTTATGTGGTCCACTAAAACTTGCTCATACTCGGGTGAGAAGGTTTTTGTGAATCTACCAACTTTTGGTTGCAACGTGACTTCTTTTCCACTGCTCAATGTCGTTATTTTATCATGTAGAGTACTTTTTGGAACATTGTAACGTGACGAAGCTGCCCTCAAACTCATTTTTTTGGGCAAAATCTTGTTCATCGCAGTTTTTAAACTTTGCTGATCCCATTTTCCTTTTTTTTTCTCTCTTGCATTTTCAAATATCTCTCTCCTTCTATCCTGTAAAACAACAAACAATCATCATTACAATAAGTACAAATGCTTCATAAAAAAGCTAACCTATAAACTGTCCGGTGGTAAGGGACACCTTTGTGTCCGAAAGTAGGGGACAGGAAACGTCCAAAATTACGTATTTCATACTAAAACTGTTTAGGTATTTATTAAAAACTTTCACAATATAATAATTATAGTGAAACACTGTCTTTATTAACAAATTACAAAAACAATTAAGGATAAAACCATAGCAGTAATACTTACTTGAAATTTACGTGACGCAACGCTTTCCCACCAAAAACAGCAATTCACGGCTTCCACCACGACTGGGCGTCTCACTGGCAAATCGCGTTGCGTGATCCTGTCTCGCTACGTTCCCCCGCACCCCTTTCACCGATTTATAAATAGATCGCGTTGACGTTTGTCAAAATAGTATGAGTGTCCGGCGCTAGGTGCCGTCCGGCGCTACGGGACTTCCCCCTATTGTATCTATCTAATTTAATTAGATACGAGTATTCAACGTACGGAACCCCCTTTATGCAAATTGATAATATTCAATATAATTATATTCTATATACTTATATTAATATATTATTTATAACAATAAGTGGTTTTCCAAAGATTGACTCAAGCAATTTAAAGGTACACTTAGAGAAAGTAATAAACTTTTGTTTTGTAAAATTTGATTTATACACGCACACAAACTACTACAATACTGATTGAATGGAAATATTATGAATATATATTGGAATTGGAATGGAAATTATAAAAAATAATAGTGTATGGTATGGAGGACACCAGGGTTACTGTACTGGTATTGGTCTACTTCACGAATGATTTTAATACCGTTTTCATACCTTATCTCAAGGTCTCGCCCGAAGAACTGCAAAGGTTCTTATCCTATCTTCAGGGACGCCAGCAGTCTGATCGTGTCGATGAATCTTCGTCGAACTGGTGTGATCTTGGCTCTGGTGTCCCTCACGCGGTATTCTCTCTCCCTTGTTATTTTCTGTGTATATTAATCTCTTACCTGAGACTTCGTTGTACGTATCACCTGTATGCCGATAACATGCAGCTCTATTCACAAAGCAAGGTTGAAGATATCTCAACAGCAATAGATATGGTCAATAGATACCTGGACACACTGGACAATAGACACGAAATTTCAAGCTATTATAATTAGGAAGTCAACAGTTAATGAGCAGAGTAGACATTGACATGCTTCCATCTGTTATTTTTAACGGTACTATGATACCGGTTTGTCAAATTGTTAAAGATCTTGGCTTGCACCTCGATTATACACTGAATTGGCGTGTTCAAGTTGCAAATCAGTGCTGGAGGGCTACTGGTACTCTTCGAGTAATATATCACCTGTATAAGTTTCTACCCACAAAAACTAAAACCATACTTGTGCAAACGCTTATTTTCCCAATAATCGACTATGATGACGTGTGCTGTTATGACCGTAATGCAGATCTTTTCAATCAGTTGGACCATCTTCTTAATAACTGCATTCGATACATCTTTAACCTCCGTAAATATGATCATGTGATCCTCTTTCCGTTCGCAGCTTAACTGGTTACCCATTCGTCTACGCTGTAAATTACGGGCTCTAACTGTCTTATTCACTATTGTTAACAACCCATCTTCGCCAACGTATCTAGCTTCCTACTTCCAACTCCTATACAGTAATAACGCCTCATCGACTGGTAGAGAATGCCTTGGGCATTAGGACCGCCAATGCACCGAATGGGCATGATGTGTGAAAAAATAAATAATATTCTACCACATTCACACAACGCCATCAGTCTAGTCCCAAACTAAGCAGAGCTTGCATTATAGATACTAGATAACTGATATAAAGACACATATACTTATTTTTTTTTAAATCATACATATTACACATAGAAACACACACACCAAATCAAACATTAAATGTTCATGCACACAAATGTTTGACTTGAGCGGGAATCGAACCCGCGACCGTTGGAATAGCAGTCCGTTACACATACCACTACGTCATCCGGTCGTCAAAATGAATTTAAAAAAAAAATTGTATTATAATTTATTATAACCATATGAATTTTTAAAAGACCCATGTCCAATTTTTTAATATACACCATCTGACAGCTATAAGAAACGAAAAAAAAGCAAAACAATTAAAAAACAGTTTCTAAAGAACACAAAATACGGTTCTTTTTTATTATTTTCAAGATTCCTCTAGTATTTCATAATGTAAACTTTTCCCGTTGGTTAATAAATAGGAACCGGACAGTTGAGCGGTAATATCACCTGACAGTATTTGTTTGGTGTTTTATCTGTATTAGTATAAACCACTATCATTTATTTTAATGGTAATTTAAAAAAAAGTTATTGGACCTCAATTTCTCTCTGAGACTATAAAGTTCTTATAAATGTATGAAATTACTTCTTATTTACTTTTTCAGGGTTTTATATACCCAGCGCTCCATGTGCTAGTAGCCCGGTGGGCACCGCCGGCCGAAAAGGGCAAGTTCGTAAGTGCTATGATGGGAGGAACACTGGGTACGGTAGTCACGTGGTCACTTACTGGACCCCTTATGGAAAAATTTGGATGGGCATCAGCATTTTACGTCCCCGGTGTCTTAACTCTAGTTTGGTGTGGATTTTGGTGGTATCTAGTAGCAGATACACCATCAGAACACCCAAGAATTTCGGAATCAGAAAAGAAATACATTTCGGAAGCATTGGGAGATAAGGTCAACAATTCGAAGGTGGGTAAATATTTTGAGAGTCACAAAATGATTATAACAAAACTTGTTTCACAGTACTGTGTCACTTTTAGAATTTATGTCATTAGTTTGACATGTTGGTGACATGATAATTGATGAACATACATACATACTTGGCAGAGTATGCATTGAATCTGTATCTTGTAAAGAATATAATATATTAAATCATATAATACTTGGAAGAAAACCCAGATTACGTCATCTGTTAAGATATGGAAATGGACTCTCCCTGAGCCACTTAGATTGCTTGTATATGTTAATTGTAACTGAAATATTTGCTGTACATACATATGTATTTGTTCAGGAATAATGGTTTAACCAATTCTGTATGTTAATTTCAGGGCTTGCCGCCGTTCAGGAAAATTGTGACATCATTACCGTTTCTGGCTATGATCATCCTACATTACGGCAACCTTTGGGGACTATATTTTATAATGACAGTTGGACCTAAATTCGTTTCAAGTGTTTTGGGATTTGAACTGTCAGCAGCTGGGGTAATATCAGCCCTTCCGTACTTAGCCAGATTATTCTTGGCTACAATATTTGGTGTTGTTGGAGATTTCATACTGGCTAGAAAACTTATGACGACAACATTTATAAGAAAATTCTTTTGTATCTTCTCACACATTCTTCCTGGCATTTTATTAGTTTTACTGGTTTACGCCGGATGTTCTACAGCATTATCAGTATCTCTGATCACGATGTCTATGGGCTTTAATGGCGCAGCTACTCTGACTAATCTACAGAACCACCAAGACTTGGCCCCTAATTATGCAGGCACTTTGTACGGAATAGCAAACTGTGTAGGAAGCACTGCAGGATTCTTTACACCTATGATTACAGCATATTTTACCAGTTCAGAAGTAAGTATTTTATGCATCTGACAATTTTGATACTATTTGTTCGTAAGGAAACAGTATGATACTATATAAAAAAAGACCGAATGGGGCTACATAACTGTCTTAAACTGTCACTGCAATGTCTTTTTTTTACCGACTTCATAAAAAGGAGGAGGTTCTCAATTCGACTGTTTTTTTTTATACTTATACCCTTATATAATAAAATGTACAGCTATGCTTTTTTTTACAGAATAGTTTTGAAAGTTGGCGTCCAGTATTTTTCCTCGGGGCATCAGTTTACATAGTATCGGCTATATTTTTCATAATCTTCGGTACTGGTAATATACAAGCATGGAACTTTGCACCTGACGATAAAGACGACAAGGAAGAAAGAACTAATGGAGATCTTAAGGACCTCAGTAATTCGAAAATAAATAATGGTGATGCCAAGGAAATAAAAGAAACTCCACTTAATGTTACCACGTAAATGTGACTCGTTGTTATAGTGTCAGGTGTGACCTATTTATAATCCGTTATGTAGTTTGAACATCGACGTCATTTCGATGTTATATATCTGTTAAAGATATTATACAAAAATGTGATAAAGGAGTATACTCATCTGTATTATATCTTTATAAAGATGAATAGATATTAATGAGTACTTACTGTAAGTTAATAGAAAGAAATGCTGTTCATTAAAAGCGAATTTCCACTTATGAAGTTGCATTTATAAAGATGGTCTGCCTTCCCGTATGGATTTCTTGTTCTGTCATAGCTTGTTACGTAAAGAAGTTAAACTAACTTTTGGACAAAACATCTAATGTTAAAACTACCTAGCCGTTATATGGAAGATACATAACGATGGTTTAATGCACCATTACGACATAAGGTTATATACCTACATGGTAAACGAAACGCTTATTTTAAGCATATTATACTGTAATTAACTTATTATTGTGATAGAATTTTAGTTATTGAGGTCTACGGATGTCTAAACACAAATATATATAATATGTCCTGTTTAACGGAGAATTGACAATAATGATTGACAATATTGATTGTATTTTTCAAAATTGTACTTTTTTCAATTGCGATGGGGCGAAGAATGCTGTGATTAAATTGTATTGATAGTAAAATTCTAGGAAACTGGTAGGCCCAGTGGTATTATGATATTAATTTATAGTTCAATAACAGGGCAAAATTAATGACACACCGGTTTTGTCGCGTATACTGAACTCATTCAGCAGTACTTTTGCTGATGCGTAGCAACTTACTGGTTTTTAACCGTTCCTATTGTAGGACGATGACCTTAAGATATCACCGTCCATTATTCCATTGGATTTTGTTTGTTAGTAATTTGATTTCTATTTTCGCGCATCATTTACCAAAATTTCCTTTAGTTTAAAACTTTATTTGCACACATTTAAATAAGCTAAGACTAGTGGAGTAACACAACGTGACAGCCAAAGACTTAAGCGCGTCTCGAATGACCAATTTAAAAATATTTAAAAAATAGGTAAGTTTCTTTTCGTGTAGCGCTCTTATTCGTGTGATAATTTCAATCTGCTTATTAAAATGTCATTTTATTTAGATAAATAAGTTGGTTAGCTTTATATTAATAATATATATACATATATATATACGACATTAAATTGGATTGTTTTAATTTAATAACTTGTTAATCACAAATAAACGTGAAAATATTTAAAGTCGAAAGTCGTTTTATTGACCATAGTTGTATATGCTGTATAGCGGCGATTTATATTCAAACATGTGGGTGCCAGACTGGAAAGTTTCCATTGCTATTCTGAAGATTGTTTTGCCTCTAGGGCACAACAGAAGTATGAGGAATGTCCTGCACGTCGCAATTATGGTGTTAGCAAAAAAAATATTTTTTCTTTTTTAACAATAACGACTCCCAACTTCTTAAAGAAAGTCTCAGTGTTAAGTTACCATTTTTACCACTGCAAACCCTGCGATTAAACTTTATGTGTATGATCTCTTACATGATTACAATATATTTTACATTCAACACAATACAAGATGTTTTTAAACATTTGCGTCTGTTTTACGAATGAGGTGTGTAGAATCGGGACTTACTAGTGATAATATTTAGAAAAAAGTGCAGTATATATTTTTGGTTACCCGAAGTTTCCTTCGAATTGCATGAAAAGATTGTATCACATTTAATAAGGCTGTGATCATTGTAACAGACTTGTAACCAGTAGCTTTTAAATTAGAAAGGTACTAATTGAGCTAAAGCTTTTAAATTAGATAGGTACTAATTAATGGGTACTGTTGAATATTTGACGGGCCTGTTGGGCTAGTGGTTAGTGGCTTAGTGGTTAGTGGGTTCGATGCCCATCCAAGACCAATAATTGTGTGATGGGTACGATCATTTGTTTTGTGTCTGGGTGTAATTTATCTATAATGTGTATAAAAATATATTTATCAATAGTCGTAACCATGGCATTGGCTCGCCTAGTTTTGGGATTAGACTGCTGAGTTTGAGATGTGTGAAGTTATTTCAAACCATAAAAAACTAACCTATTACCAAATCGCGTGGTGATCATTTGGAATGGTTTACCGGAAAGTGTGATTTGTGCTGGATCAGTAAACATTTTTAAAAACAGACTAGAGACCAACGATTAAAAACAATACAAGTACAGTTGTATAATAACAATACGGGCGTTGTCTTTTTAAAAAGGATAAAAAAAAAAGATTAATAAGCTCTTTGATTGTAATACCACATATCCATCCATGTCTGTACAAAATATATACTGTAGCAGTGTATAATAAAAATGTATAAATAAATAAATATGTGATGTAGTCCAGAGAGCTAATATACAACATCGTGTGTGTCATTTTATTTCTAAGGTAAATCAAGTGTTAGTTATATGACTGAACAAATATATGAAAATGATTAAGAGTATCAACAGTGAAGTAATAAATTTAATTTCTAAGCCTCATCAGCCAGTGTTTGTCTTTCGTATACAGAACGTGTTTTCTTGGCAATCACACCATTTATCTGATTTCACGTTTAATTAAGATAGCGGGTTTAATCACGTATGTGATTGACTTGACGCAGAATGTCGTTTCATTCCTCGATAAACGCCATCTATCCAAGTTCGAAAGTAAATGTTAATAAAAATGATTACTTCATAAAAACATTTATTATTAGAATAAAAAAAACTTCACACATTCACACACCCAAACTAGGCAAGGCCTGTACTATGGTAACCAGACTACCGATAAACACACTTATATATTTCTAAATACATACATATTAGAGATAAATAACCGCCATATACAGAACAAAAATGATCTTGCTCATCACACATTAATTTGTCCTGGGTGGGAATCGTACCCACGACCTCTGGCTTAGCAGTCAGGACACTAACCACTAGACCGTCAGGCTTATCAATTAATTTTAACTATAGTAACGTCAAACGAATTAAATAATAAATAATTCATTCATTTTAGTTTTCCTTAGAGCCCGAAGCTATAAAAGTTAGAGGGCTGGGATTTTCAAGGAACTGTCAGTTTGAGTTAAAGGTACAGGGTACACTCATCAAGCTATTGCTTACTCCACAATTTATCTTTTTAAGCAATATCCCTCTCCTACCATTGCCTTTCTACCTAACCAACTAACTAACTAACTAACAACACCTATTTACCGTCTTTCCGACGGATGGCTCCCTATGACGAAGATGTCTCAACGCGTAGGACGCACGATGCCACGTCATCCTGGAGTGCCAAGGATCACACAATGAGTAAGTATCCTCGCGGTGCAAAGTCACGCTATCCTTCTATGTCCTATCTCTACATCTCAAGAGTTAGTAAAAAAGTTTGTTTGCTACTATTGTGTATGAAAGAATTAAAAGCATCTCTTTCAAAATCATCAAGGCAGGGTTGATTGATCAAGCAAGATGTTTGAAGGAAACACTTTTAAAATTGATTGAATTTATATACCTTGTGATGTATGGTGCAATCTACATTCAGTGTAAGAGTTTATAAGATGCAATTTATAAATATAATCTTTGAAACTACTGCATTTTAAAGTTCATTAATAATTGGCAGCGTTTCAATACATCAGAGTGATATAGGCTATCTTAACGCCGATAAAAGGTGGAATAAACTGGCCGTTGCGTTGACTTACCCGAAGTAATACAATTTGAATCAATCAAAAATGTTTTTTAAAGATACATCACACTATAGAAATTGCAGTCTCGCGAAGCATTGGCGGATTGCTAGAAACATCAATATAATATATGTATGCTTTGAAACGTGATCATTTAAAAACATACTTTGATAAGTTTAATTCAGTGTGGTTATGGCTAGTCCTGTATTTGTCAGTATCATTTAGGCCTGGTAATGTTTGAAATTAAGATTCGTGCAATTGTAAGTTTAATTGACTATATTTAAATGTTTGTTTCGGTATTTATCAGAAAAAAACTAATAACTTATTATTTTAATAAATGTTTATTACGCCTATAGGTTGGAATAATGATATTTCTGGGGTATTTTTTGATGTATGTTGTCCGTTATAATCTAAGTGTACACATTGTTGACATGGCTCAAATACAGAAGAGAGAGTCTTTATACCAAAAACTTAATCTGAGCGAGGTTATAAAATATTATAGTGTCAGAAATGGGGTAAGGTTATCTTTATTTATAATTGCAACTTTACATAATTTTGATAGGTCAATACGTAAATGAATCAATGTCATCTTCACTTTCTTTTATCGTTTTCGCGTAATGTGTAAATAAGTTGATTAACAGTGAGGGCTTGGCTAAAAGAATGATGTCATGAGAGGTTCTCCCGTCGAAACTTTTATAAAGATGAAGATGTCAAAAGTATAGTATTTATTAAGGGTACTCTTATGATTACTCTATGTGAGGTATCTATCTGATAATATTAGGCACCTATTCATTTTCTCTCGTATGGAGTAAATTCTGCAAAAAACAAAAGCACTTACCTTAAAACATACATAAGTGCATTTTAAAATTAACCAATTCATATTCCTGATTCACATGATGGCTGCCAAATGAAAACCAAACGGCATTAATCAGTTTCTTTTATATCGCTATCGATTTTTCAGATGATCGACCTGATCAGTTGGGATAACATGAAAATGGGGCGATTATTTTGTGCATATCATATTGGATATTGCGTGTGCTTCCCCATATTTCACTCGCTAGGAGACAGGTAAGTATCGGTTAACATCTCTAATAGCCGTTTTCTCAATCAATTTTATATGCAGTCTCGCCGAGGCCTATCAGTAGATTGTTGTTGTTAAGAAGATAGAAAGCTGTTGGGCTACGCAGCAGGGATATACAAAGCATTTCGTATCCCTGCTGATTTTATTAGAGCTGAAAAGGAAAACGAAAAAAGAAACACGTTATGGTAAACGGTTATGGTAATCTTAAAGATAACACTTCCATTAATACGAAATTGTTATTATTTAGTTAATGAAACTAAGGTGGAAATCCTGAGTGAAACATTGCAAGAACAAAATTAAATATACAATGTTTTAGCTGCCTCTACATACGGCTTCCTGAGCAATCAGCTTTCTATCTTCCAGTAAATCTCTGGTGGTTTTAACTTTCTAAATAATTTTTAAAAACCATTTTACAAAATTAAAAGTTAACGTCAATTATAATCCCTATTTCGACTTAGTAAGGTATAATAAGATTATGTTTTTTTTTTACAGATTAGGTCCTACATGGGTTGTCGCAATATCTGGAATAATTTCAGGTGTACTGTGTTGCCTTACTCCGGCTTCTGCTTATTACAACTTTTGGCTCCTCTTTATAGTTCGCGTCGTCAAAGGCTTCTGTGCAGTTAGTATTTCACACTTCTTAAAATACTGAAAAATAAAGTTCATAGTAAAATGTTACAAATCTTGAAACAGCTTTTTGGGTGTAAAAAAATTTGGAAATTACCTGGTTAAAAAGACTTTTTTTTGCAGACGTAGATACTTTATATTTTTGTTTATGTATTAGGGGTGATTGTGTTCAACAAAGTATAGTGTTGTAAGGGTACTAAACTTTACAATGTTTTTTAAACCAGGGAGCAATGCAACCAAATATGGTCCAAGTATTGACAAACTGGGTACCACCTATAGAGAGAAATCATTTTATGTGGGCCTACTGTGGTAAGTATGGTAGTAAATTTGTAATATAAAACAATAACAATAGAATAGGTAGGTACCATGGTAGGATAATATAACGAATATATTCTTTACAGAATAAGTTTACTTGTCTTTACAGAATATATTGTTTATCCGATAAAATCACTTAAAAGAGTTAGGTATAGGAATTAAATGTCTTATGTAAAATCTTCCCTTTTTATTAATTAAGTCATATTTTATAAGTTCCCATTTTGATAAACTTAAATATTTAATAACATAGTAATGTTCGACCTTTATTCTTCACTCCCTTTTATTGCAACCAGAACTTATCAATGTTATAAGTATTTTATTTTTTTTAGCCTTTGATTTTTTACAACATAGTGGTTTCTTTTCAAACAAACTACATGATTTTTTTATCTATAAAAGTAATAATATATATTTCATCTAGTATATGTTAGAGTGAATGTGAGTGTGGCGGAGGGTAAATTATTCTGGAAAAAAATATATTTCTAAAACTCAGCTATTCCGGTAAAAAAATACCAGTGTTTTTTATTTTTGTTACTAGCATATAGTGATCGTTCCCGATGTTTGAAATTTGAAAATAAACATTCAACGTACTATTATTATTATTCTTTGTTTTATGAATAGAAAAAATATAGAAAAATAATAGTTCACATTGCCTATATGATACTCTACAGACCAGACTTTTGAGTGCAATTAGTACCCGAAACAACAGTTGCTTCTCAGATACTAAACTTAGCTACAGCAATTCGGAAAATAGTTGACTAAATTACAATATTTTGGCTTCTTGTCGCTGGAAAGAAAAAAAAATAAATAAATAAATATATATATATAAATAACTTTCACTTTTTGTACAAAAATTAGCTGAAGACGATAAATCGTATAAACAAGTATTATTTTAATTGCTTTTATATATTCTTTTTCTTTACTTTTGTTTATATAAACTTATTTTATTTTTTAATTGTATTTAAAATATTTTATACTAGTCTATCATAGTCATATCTATCATACTCATTCGGCCTGTACACCTTTGAGCATGTTGCATTTCCTTTATGGGAATTCTTACCTTTAGCGAAAGTGCCGTGCGTCGCGTCATTAGCGGTTAATGACGCCGATACTCTGTTCACTGTTCATTGAAATTTGTAATGAAAAAGCTCATTACTTCCTACTCTAACGGTAGTTTAGTTTAAACTAGTAGTATCGTAATCAGTAATCGTAGTAAGTGGAAACATGTAAAAATGTAAAGACAAAGAGATAGATACTAGAGAAAATGGCACAAAACTGGTTTTGAGTAATGTCTTTGTTGCATTTCACGGAGTGAGATAGGTTACTGAAGGCTTAACTAGCTCCCCCCACCCTTCCTCCTAATACTACCCAGTATTGAGGAGGCACTCAAAAGGCAGTAACGCCCTTGTGTGTCTCGAGTTGCAGGTGTCCATAGGCTGCGGTGGTCACTTATACTATCACCTGTCTGTCGGTTACCTGTCTACTCGTTTGCCACCCTATACCATAAAAACACTACAATGATAGTGATTGAAATTCGACCAGTGGGTAAATACAAGTTATGGTGGTAAAATTAAATGAAGTCTTTTCTGAGAATTTCTTTTTTTAAATATATTGGTTAATTAATGGTTTGGTAATCCATTTCTATGACACTATACGAGTAGGTAGGTAGCCTAAGCCATTACTTGCGAACGTGTCCAGGAGCTTCTCTACAAGGCATTCTTAGAAACCCGAAGTTAATTCTATGTATTTTTGTAATTAGGCTTCACTATGGGAACTTTCTTCACGTTTCTTATATGTGCCGCAATTCAGTACTACTCACGTTGGCCAGTGGGTTTCTACTTAGCGGGTGGCTTGCAGATACTGTGGGCAGTTGTTTGGGGTTTTACAGTCACCGACTTACCTAGAAAACATCCATGTATATCAGAAAAGGAATTGACGTATTTAATAAACGCTATCAGTACTATATTTAGTATCAAAGTAAGTACAAATATTTTTGATCTACATTATTTTATATGAATTTTATTATATCATCTTAGTGCTTACGTTTTGCTTTTTAGTTGACGAATTCACATACGCCTTGGAAGCTGATATTGAGATCTGTGCCCTTTTGGGCACTTTGTATTTTAAACTTTGGATATTCTTGGATGATTATTTCTTTGTGTATTCACGGTCCTCTATTTTATTCCAAGGTTGCACGATACAATATTTATAGCGTTAGTACTGTTACTGTATATAATATTAAATTGTTTAACGTTCAAACAATTTAGTAGTAGGTAGCTGGTACCTACCAGCTACCTACTACCTGAGCTGAGCCTACCTCTTTGTTTTGAAAACTAAAAAAATTACAAAGTAATTAAAGTTGTGTCTTATTCATATACCCACGATTTATACCCGATTACATAATATTATGTACATCACATTTAAATACTAATTGTATAAAAACAGTATTTAGACATGTTTAACTTCCAAGACAATTTTATTTAAATATTTCTTACCTCTATTTAATATTTCTCATCACTGTGTTAATATTTAGGTAAATAATCATTAAACAGTTAAGAGGTGATAGCTTTGTCTTAGACATTATAATACTTAATAATAATATTTTCACACATTTTACACACGGCCGTCTGATCCCAAACTAGGCAGAGTCTGTACTATGGTAAACAGACTGCTGATAAACATACTTTTATACAATATTTCCAAATACATACATATATTATAGACTAGACCTAGAACAAATGACCGTGCTCATAACACAATTATTTGTCCTGGGTGGGTCCTAAAGCTCGTGATTAAGCTTCTCAACTAACCTGTCTTATATGTTACAGGCATCAGCACTAACTTCAATACCATTTTTCTTCCGATTAGTGCTGGGAACCCTCCTAATACACGTGTTTCATTACTACAAACAAAGAACGGGTACACACAGAATTACAAATATTAGAAAGCACTTAATCATTGTGTGTGAGTTGTAAAATAATCTCTGTTGTTAGTGGATAATCGTGGGTATCACTGTACTGTAGCAAATATCATCTAACAGGCCTACCACAAACGCATACCGTAGTAGGACAGAATATAGAACTAGATAAATCTAGGTGCAGGCAGATAGAAACAGAAGTAAGTATATCTATTTATATGCTTTGGTACGGAGTGCATTTCACACTAGGATACAACCTGCATTGTGAAAAAACGTATCAAACCGCTTGGATGGTAGAATGCCTTAAAATCATGTTCTTTAATTCAGAATTGACAGTGATAAAATTTACAAACAGCCTACTACATAGCAGGAAATATACTGTTTAATTTGGACACGTTTTAAACTATTAACATACCTTTAACAGGTAACATCTGTATCATGCAGCAGCTTCTTGCTTGCATCCCACTTAGAGCTAACCTTGCTGGAATGCAGGCAAAATAATAGGGTATAACGCGCAGCAGCAGCGTAATGAAAAGCCTTTTCTGAAATTCATGACCAAGACAATCTGAAAAATATTTAAAAACTCATTAAACGAGAGTGAATCAACGTGTATAACCATATGAGTTAAATATCATAATGCGGGTGTGAACGGCTTTAATTAAATAGATAAAAATTCAAACTTTAGATTGTACATATCTCGAACTCTAATTGATACAGGCACCCTTGACTTATATGAAGGTCAAAATAATACATTTCTATTTGTGTAGCGCACGTGATCCCTGGTCTAATACTCGGTGTAACATGGTTGCTTCCTGTAATACCTGGACCAATACTTTTAAGTATAGCAGTATCGCTAACGGCAGCTGGAATGGATCTTACACTGGATCTTTGTCATGTACGTTATATTTTTATTTTGCTTTTTGGAAAAAAGCATACCTGATTGCAATGTATGTAAGTATGTTTTCTTATTATGTACCTATTTCTTTAAAGAAAATAAAATCAATAATGATTTTTTTTATTAAGTTTAGACAATTAATTTAAGTATACTTATTTAAATTTTTACTAATATCGGTTATGTTTTTCCTGTGCAAACGAACAACGCGAATTTGTAATTAAGTCCTAGACATAAATTCGGTGGTTAATTCTGTTATCATTTCATCCTCCAAATTGTTCATATAAAGTTTATAAGTTGGTAAACGACAACCTTGATAATAAAACAGATATAAAACTTAGCTAATAATCGAAGTGAAACTTCCTTATGTGCGACCAAGTATAAAAGTACTTTTTTCATGTTATTAAGCAATTTTTATCTCTTAAATTAGGAATAATTAAAAATCTTTTATTGTTTTAACTCGTTAGGTGCTATTACTCCCTTCCTCTTTTTTATACTGGTAATGCAATTTTCTATTTATATTGCGTATTTGGTAGCATGTATTACAATAAATTATGTTTACCAGAAATCATTAGTATAATTTCCAAAAATATTGTTAATTGAATGTAGATGAGTCACTCAATCTCTGTTTATAATCTGGGGATACACGTGCTGACCAATCTCAAATGCAATTGTCAGACATTAAAGTTGCAATTATAACGATTTACTTTAATTTTTACAACGTTTTAAAATATGGTAATAAACAAACAAAGTTGTAACTCGATGTTTTATGGGTTTGATTTGCTTATTTTCTTGTCTGTTTAACTGTTCGGCCATAATTGTATTGTTTTGCTTTTAAGGGTAAGTCACTACAACGGTCTGAACGTCCACCTTTTACATACTAAGTATACCTAATGAACTTTTTATTTGTTACCTCTACATACTATACCTATATTCTACGAAGAAAAATGTTTATGATTCTGTATATATCAATTTTAAAATTTACGTTTCCTGTTTTAGCAATGTTTTAATATTTGTTTAATTGTTACACTTTAGAATGTCTAGAATTCTTTAAGCAGTTAGTAAAACGTTTTTTAATGCTAACGTATAAAACACTGTGTTCCAGGAACTGACACCAACGTTCATGAATTCAATTAATACGGTCATTAAGATTATTGGAAACACGTCAGGTATTATAATATCTCTTTGTGTTGGTCAAGTAACAGAGAGATATAAGGTAACGTACAAATACATATTTCTTAAGATAAAACATTCTTTAAAAACCTTCATATACCCATGTTTTTTTCTTAGAATTTACCTTATGTTTGGAAACATATTTGGTGCTTCCACGGGACTGTCCTATTAGTGAGCGGATGTATATTCTTGATGCTGGGTGAAACGCAAGTACAGCCATGGAATTTTACAAGAAGCGTTAAGTAGGTTTTATCTAATATTTAAAATATTTTATAATTATGTAAATGATAAAGGAAAGTCTCTTTAATTTTCTTTTCAGACCTCGTCATAACTATTCAATTCAGCCACCAACAACAATGTCAGATATAATAGAAGTTGAAGAAGACAGATCTTCACTAAGAATGTCACCAACAACGACTTTACATTGATGTTCATTAAAAATCTTTAATACTTTCCATATGGTTATTTTATTACAGTTTATAGTTACAGTCACAATTACGAGTAAATAATAAGCGATGCCACTACTTAACAGATTACATTATATTTTACAAAAGAGAACATCTAATGGTAAGGTCAGGTAATGGTGCTAATATAGACCAATAGAATCAAATATACTTACTTTAATTATGTTTACGACTTGCGTAGTATGGCAATGATCCTCTATGAGCTCCATCTTATGCCGCGAACATTGCATGGAAGCAATTCATGTACTCGTAGGTACAATGTGTTCAAATCTCCCTACAATTTCTTTGTTTCGGCACATGGCCTTGACGGATCCGGGCATTTTACGTACAGGGGTCCATAGTCTGGCATTGTCTGTTGCCCAGACCAACCATGTAGATTAACTCTTCCGCTCTTAACCGAAGGACAAAGGCAGATTTTGTCTAAAACAGATTACTGTTATTTCAACCGGTAGTCATCAGTCACTGACAGTAAGGGATAGATTTCAGAGCCGCGGAGAATTTATTGAGATGATGGCGGTTACAAATTATATTTTTGTGTACCCCTTCAGACATAAAAACGCAAGTGTTAGTATGTATGGCAGATTACTTTGTGGAAAGAAAAAATGCACATTCAATGACGCACTCGTTCAACTTTAGGAATGACGTTGGAATAAGTTTTATATGAATTAATTTATGGTTGAAATGACGTTTATTAAATATTTTTACCTACAAATGGTGTTTAAAGAAAAAAATGTGGTAGGTATAGTAAACAAAATCGTTATTATAGGAAAGTTAACGAGAACTGTGCGTCAATACTCAAATCTATTGTGGTTTACGTACACAGCCAGATGCATGTACAACATATGTATGTACTCGTACAATCATTACAATTACTCGTACTTACTGTATGTAAACGCTTACTTATTTGCATAAAGACTGACACACCATTCACCACCTTAATCAGTAGATTTTATTGTGTAAGTAGGTAGGCATCAATACGGATCGGTATCAGTCAATGAACTAATATTTATAGAGTATCTATGAAAATCAGGAAAGCAATTAGTAGTATTGATCAGGCAAGCAATTACTCATTAAGTGTAAGGATTGTTTTTACAGCTAATGGCAGGTAAACTCTAATTAAAGAAAAATGTTTAACTAAAGCCTCCTACTAATTAGTGGAGATAAGGGTCCAGTCAGGATAGTTAAAGGCTGTATAATGATTAAGCCTTGCGCTCCGAAGTCATTCATCATCATTATCATCAACAGCCATTAGTACTCAACTGCTGGACATTGACCTCTCCTTAGAAAGGAGGTTTTGGCCTACTAAATCACGCTGGCCAGACGGATTGGTATAGGGTTTGTTTAAAGTTCTCCTTCTCTTTGCAGTGCTGTTGTCCTGAGTAGTTTGGTCTCTAAGCAATATTTTACGACACCCACGGGATGAATAGGGGTGGTGACACTACGTATTCTTAATCCGTCACCACACCCGTGAAGCCGAATCTATAAGTCAGACCACACTATCTGTTTTAGATGATAAAGGTTGACCAAAAAACTAATGTGTAAAGTACTGGGAACAAGCCAATTTTTTGCATAATGATCAGAACTGACAGTGTGTTGTTTTGTGTGCACCTACAGAATGAAATTTAAAATACCCCTTACGTTCTATTTTTCTTATATCCTAGTCCTCCATTTAATGGCCTTAACGGTGCTTCTTCCTTGCTATTTTCCAGTTCCATTGAAACAATAAGTACAATTCCAAATTTTATTTAAAGAGTTCCATTAGTAATAGACGTGTAGTATGCAGGTCTGTAACTATGCCATGCGCAAGATGCCAGACATCAGGCGATTCTTTTTAGTACCCCCAAGCTATGATTCTACTTGCAATGTTCATTCCTAAGTTGTCTTTAAAAGGAGATAGGCCACTTTTGGGCCTATACGGTACAGGTATACGTTACAAAAATAGTGGAAAAATATTGTTTTTTTTATTTCAATGCAAAAACACCAGGAATAATTTTAACTTACAGTTTCTAAATGAAAATATTTGTATTTCTTACAAGTTCATAAATCTTGCCGTAAAATTATGGTGTAGAGGCAAGGAGAACCATCTCGTATGGGGGAAAAGTTGAAAAAGTGTCCAGCTGTACCTATAGTGAAACGCTGGGCTGGGGGCGTTGTAGACGGAGTGAAGTGTGCCGTGTTAAAATATTACAACATTTTTATTGTCTGATAACACATAACATAAAAATACACGTTTATTTATTATCTGTAAAACTCATTAACTATTTTTACAGTCTAGTACACATTGTCTAATTATTATTTAAGTCTATATAAATTTATCCTAGGCTACCGCAGGGCCACCCTTATTGGACGTGTTTTTACGGACGCTTTTCATACACAGAGATGGTTCTCCTTGCCTCTCTCCTCCATACGTTAAGTAATAAATAGACAGTGTTATCATAGAAATATAAGAATAGAGCACGCCAATCCCATCTAACCCAACGCTTTGAGGTGTTCCATGGTGCGAGAGAGATCGCTGCACGCAGAGGCCTTCTCTATCTTTCTCTCACTGCATGACAATCGTGATTACGATTAACGTGATTGCGCATGTGCGGGAATCAAGAAAGAGATAGAGATAAGATAGTCATTTGTTTAATTGAGGATCTAACTTCCCATGATGACGAAGGTCATAAGATGTGGTGCACGATTGTTGTGTAATAAAGTTTATGCTGTAAAAAAGAAAATGCTGTACTTAAAAAATAAGTTAATTTATAATACTTAAAGGTAAAAATTGAAGAAAAGTTAAAATATATTTTTATTAAAAAAATGACAAAAAAAAATAATTTAAATGAAATTTATCACGTAAATGTTTATGTGTAAGGTCTTATACCTTACACACGGTACAAGGTACACCTTGTACAAGGTACAAGAGCACCTTGTTACCGTACCAATACGGTACGGTAATCAATACGGTACGGCAGTATCAAGAGAGGCTCTTGTTGACTCATCATAATATATAGAGGCGTCATATTAATAAAAAGTTTAAAAACATAGCTTCAGGCACTAGTGTACGGAAGTTAACTAAAAAATAGCAGTGCCCCCAAAAATATTTTAATAATTATTTTAAAAAGGAAATATATTATGTACTATATGTACCAGTGTTTTTATCTTTAAATTTTATTAAGTGTGTTTTGGTTCGCAATCCCAAATTAAAATAATTTTGTCCAGTGCCAGATTATGCAACCTTTTCTTTTATTTATAAATTAATTAATAAAAGAAAATTAATTAATTAAATTAATTAGTAGGCCAAAACCTCCTTTCTAAGGAGAGGCCTATGTCCAGCAGTGGACTAGTATAGGCTGTTGATGATGATGATGATAAATTAATTATTATAATAACATGCAAAACCGGCAGACGGATTAATTTATTTCAAAAGTCTTAATAACACATTTAACTACTTATTATATTCTTAATATTTTTATACCCATATTCAAATTAAACCGTATTTCACATTACATACTGATGCCGTCATCCATCACTAATAGTGACACTGATGAATATTTTTCGGTGCCCAGTGATGATGCTAGTTTCACTAGTGTTCCTTCACTTGCAGATACCATCTCGAGTCAATTCTCTGATTTCTCTGATATGCTGGCAGCCTTTCACTGTACGAATATCCACGCAATTCTTGTATCAGAATCGTGGCTCAAGCCATGCCTCTCCGCAGTAACGTACTCGTTACCAGGCTTTCAGCTGGTAAGGAATGATCGTATTTCTGGACGTGGCTGTAGAGTTGCCATGTATATTCGATCCCACATTCCTTTCTCCATAGTAAATATGTCATCTCAGCCCACAGCCACAAATGCAATAGCGAGCATTTATTCATTGAAATCTTACTCCAAAACACAAAACTACTTCTCGGTGTATATTACAGTCCTTCCCTTCGAGTAGATTATTTTTCTTCACTTGAAGTACTGTTGGAAAATCTAACCCCTTCGTACAGTCACACTATAGTCATGGGTGCCTTTAACACCTGTTTACTGAAAAAAGATTCTCGCTCTGCCACTCTTTGATCTATTATTGAATCTAGTAATCTTTCTATTCTTACACTAAATCCTACACATAATTTGCCAAACCGTAACTCATCTCTCCTAGACCTCATCCTTGTATCCTCTGTGGAGCACGTCGCCAAATATGGCCAGTGCTCTGCAGATTCTTTTTCATATCACGATCTTCTCTTTCTATCCTACCTCATTCGTACCCCTAAACCTAAACCTCAAATCATTTCACACCGTAATTTTCTCACAATGAATGTCGAAAATCTTCGCAGAGATGCTGATAGCATCGACTGCGGTCCGCTTTTTAACTATCACTGTGTTAATGAAAAAATTAACCACTTCACTAATAATCTTATTATCTTATATGACAAGCATGCGCCGATACGAAGAATAAAGGTTAAACATCTCCCTGCTCCTTGGCTCACTGAGGATGTAAAGGAGGTACAGAGAAGGAAAGCAGGGCTCAATCTAAAAATAAGAAACATCCTACAGTATCAAACTGTAGAATGCTCAGCGCTGACATATCCATAAATCTGTTGAAAATTTCGACCCGGTTAAGGTCTGGAAATTTCTTAAGTCGTTCTAATTGTGCTTCAAAAGATATTGATATTGATTCCCTGAATTCATACTTTTCAGCTTCATCTAATTATGGAGGAGCTACCAAGACTGCGATACTAAATTATCTTTCTTCTCTGCCGACTCCTAACTGTTCCGAATTCTTTTTGTCCGTCCCATATCTATCCTTCCTTTTTTCTTCAAAGTTCTCGTTACACACAGTTAGGCTCATTTCTCTCAAGAAATTGTCTCCTTAATCCTTTCCAGTCAGGTTTCCGTCCAGCCCATAGCACTACCACAGCCCTAGTCCACATTACGGATGACATTACATGACGAAGGCAGGCTTACGGTCTTTACTTTACTAGACTTCAGCAA